CATTTCGAAATACCTTATTGAATTAACTGGTGGCGGTTTTGATTACACCTTTGAAAGTGTTGGCAACGTTAATACAATGCGTGCTGCTTTTGAATCTACACATAGTGGTTGGGGTGTTGCGGTCGTCATTGGTGTTGCACCTACGGGGCAAGAAATTAGCACAATACCTGTAAATTTAGTGATTGGTCGCACATGGAAAGGTTCGGCTTATGGAGGCTTCAATGTAATAGACGTGCCACATCTTGTAGAGGAATATATGAATGGAAAGATTATGTTAGATGAATTCATTACACACAATGTTACGCTTGAGAAAATTAATGATGCTTTTGATTTTATGTTAGGGGGTAAAGGTTTACGTACTGTAGTTAAATTTCAATAGATTGATGTACTTATTTGTCATATTTTTCAAAATGTCATATTTACAAATCGTACTTTAAAGTACGATTAAATAATGTTTACTGATAAAAAATGATTGCAATAAAAAAACTATTTATTTTTAACATAACATGTGCGTTTTCGCTACTGCGTACTTTTTAGACAATTAGATAAATAACATATACATGCCGATAAGAAAATAATAGCCCATTTATACAAAAATTAATTTAATATTGTTTATTTTATTATGTGAGAATAAGATTATTTATACCAACTGCTTTACATGTTACAATGTATTTGGAGCAGTACGCCCCCATTGTGCTTAACAATGTTTGGATAAATAATCCATAGGCAAACAAATTATTATGATAATTAAAGTAATGTGTATAAATAATATATGTATATAATATTCTTTTTGTGTAAATATTTACGTACATGTAAAATATACATGTTTATATATATGTACATAGATTCAGATTAGTACAGTAAGTGTTTAGAACAGTACTATATTCTAAAAATAACACAAAATCAAATAGTCTGTAACGGACTAGCGGTTGGATGGAGAGGTGCATTGATTTTTGCTCTGCGTTACGAAGCGTCACCTCATCTTGCTTTTATAATAGTGCCGAAAATGAGGAAATTTTTTAGTTTTTATAATTATTTATAATGACGAAGGTATTACTAAAACTCTGCCTTACTTCCAGCATGCATAGTTCATCAGTGTGTAATTAAAACTTTTCCAGAAGTTGATGAAACTTATATACACGTTGTGTTCTGGTACTGTTAATTTCAAGAATCCTGAAGAAATGCAACAAATCAATAAAAAATCTAAATAAAATATGTCGCAAATCTGTCTCTCTTATATTTAACCTAATGACAGAAACATATAAAATGTTTTTTTTTGTTTAAATTTGTCATAAATATGGATATTCCAAATGTTGAACAGGATTTGTTTCAAACCAACACTGACCAAAAGTAGTACTACCACTTTTCAAATAGTACTAGACCTAATTAAATGTCAGGCTTCTTCTCCTAAAATAAACGAATCTTTATGGCGATAAAAAAATTTAAGCCAAAAAATATTTAAAGGTTCTTAACTACACTCAAATTAACAATATAACATTCAAAGTAATAAAAACAACTACGAAAGAAGCAATTTAAATATTCTGTATATGTCAGATATAAACCTCAGATTAAAATGTAAACAAAGTTGTTTTAGTTTTAGTTGTATAAATATATTTGTATAGTTGGAACTGTGAGCAAAAATTTATATAGATTTACGAATATAATTTTGCGCATAGTCATTAAATTCGTTTTATTTATATTTGTTTACTTAGAAATTAAAAATTATTTTATATTCAAAAGTTATTTAAGCTATGAGCTTCTCAGAAGATAGAGCATAAAATTCAAGTGTGAAATAATATATTAGATTAAATGTTGACATAAAGCAAAAGTGCTAAATAAGAGTATGCTATTATATAGAAACTAATTTCAAAATAAGTTCTGAACGAAAAATAGATTATAAAGTGAACACGCCACTAATTTAAAAATAATATGCGGGGTTACACAAGTCACCGTCAAGGCGATAAAGTGATGGTTTATTTAAATTTGCATGAACTAACAGAGTTATAATACTGAAATGCTCGGATCAAATTAAAATTTATTAAATTTATTTGTAGAGGTTTCTTCGAACAGTAGTGAAGTACAACAACAAAAAATATTTATCTTTTATATTGTTTTAATTAGTTGAATTTTTGGCTGACCATACAGCTGTTTCGATCATTGCCAAATATCCATCATCTTGGAAATATTTCTTGTATTTAATTATTCGTAAATAATTATTTTTGAGACTGCAAGTACCAGGAATCGAACTCGGGTCCTGCCAAATGTGAAGCTCAGAATCAGCCCACCTTAACCAACTGATCCAAAGCCGTACTTGACTTTTTATGTTCGCATATATTTCTGGAGTTTTGTTACTTTTGCTATAAAAGTTTTTATTAACAATTTTACTTGCTGTGTTTATATTAGAAAGAAATCATAAACCAGCTGTAGAATAATTGAATTAATTAATTAATTATATTTTTTATTTTTAGTTGTTAAATTTCAATACTATTCTGTTCGTAGAGGCATTATTTTTATTTGTTTAAATTTAGGAATGAATTCTATTTTCTTGTTTTGATGAGTCATAAACAAGACGATAAAGTGGCGTATCAGTTGAGGAGTTATTACACTGAAATTGTCTGCTTTTTTAATATTATTATTTATTTTGTTTTGGTCACTGTCAATTAAATTTAAAAAACATTTCTTTTATTTGTAATTATTTCATAACTGAACTATTCAAGATATTACACTGAAATTGTTTAGTCTTTTTAAATTTTTTATTTGTAATTATTTCATAGTTCAATCATAACTATCCAAAATATTATACTGAAACTTTTAGTCTTTTTGAATTTTTTATTTGGAATTATTTCGGTTATGACAAAAAAATTTAGAAATGTTAGTTATTTTTTTTTTAAGGTTTTTAAAACTTTGCCATTTTAAATGTTTTTTTTTGAATTTTAATCATAACAAAAAAACTAATTTTATTTGTGTCGGCAAAGAAACCAGATCAATGCAATTTTCGGTTCAAAGACCCAAATGTCTGTCGCAACAAAAACTTTTAAGAGAAGAATTGACAATTACTGAAATAATGTATTCCTTAGTTAAAATGACACTCTGTGCTATACCAGTACAGACTGTACCAGTGAAAACTGGCCTATTTTGTCCTTCATTTCAGTTTACATCTAAGACAATGCTTAGGTGTTAACACTTGTTCAACCTGTATCTTTTTATTGTTTCTGTGCATAGAATAGTTGATAACCACAAATCGGATAAGGCAGCAAAAGAGACTACTGAAGAATTTTGATATACAAAGCAAGCAGTTCCTCAATGTTTTTTGTATTGACTGCTTTAATGGGAAGTTAGAATGATCGACAACACGTGGAATCTTATAAGAGCTGTTGTTATGTTTGTTTTCAAAACAGTCAACTCTGGTTTATATAATAAACCCTATCAAAACACACATATCAATAATCTTATTGTTATTTATTATTATTCATTTGGTTGATAAATACATGTTAGATAGAATTTCTTCTAAATTGTTGAAAACCCAATGTCAATGAAACTGATAAGGGATAACTCTATATTTTGATAGGCTTTTTCAATCTTGAATAAACCCAGAAGAGTGGCTTATGCATTTTCTGCTTGCGAGATTTTAATAAATTTTATGTTACATTGTATGCGAGGTTCTAAGAGTCGCTCCAAGGTTCCTAAAAATAATAAGATTAGACTGATAGGTTTACTAACTTATATATGTAACAAAAACTGACGAATGCCGGAGGCACATGGAGCTCATCACCAACAGGACTAAATTATTTTTCGTTAACAACTTGTTTAGTAACTATATCAAAAATTATCTGAATAATTTTTAGATTCAAATAAGTAGCGGCTTTTCTATTTTCTCCAGATCCTGAATTTACTTTAAACAAAAATTTTAAAATTTTCAACATATTTTCAACATCATGAAAAATTATCATAAAATCATGAAATATCCATGTTATGTTGAAGTGATTCGGATTCGCTAGCCATGCAGAATTGACCATATCCGAACTATTATCGAAGTTTAATTGTTTTAACTTAAATGAAGTCCTTTTTTAAAGAAGTCGACGAATATTTATCCCAACATTTATTGCGAGTGTCAAAAATTCTATTTTTAAAACTTATTTCAGACTATCTCATTGTTGTTAGAAATCAAAAGCGTTCATTTATTAATCAAGTTGAGGCAACTAATCTTATTGAAAATGGCACCCTAATCAGAAGCAATGTTGAATTCTCGACAAATCATTCTTATATAAAGCAAATATAAAGCCAATCTGAACCTATGTAATATCATTATGGGGCACAACTAGTAGGTGTAGATATAAATGTAAAAATACTGCAACAATTTAAATATAAAACGCTTTAATTAATTGCTCAGACGTCCCAATTTGTGACTAACAATTGCTTCTATATAGATCAAGATGTTCCTTATATAAAGGTTGTGTTTGGATATTAAAGTTTTAAATATTTTAGATGATTAAGTAATCACATAAACCAATGGAGCCACAGTAACTATGGCTCTGATGGATGAACTAAAGATGTTTGAAGATTTAAGAAATTACACATCTTAGATATCGTATGAACATAATAAAAAATTAATTATAATAAATCATGTACTAAACAGATATATGGTTATAATGGTTATAACTTATAATTTAAGTTTAAAAATATTTAACAGGCTAAATTGTGCACAAAAATTAAATTAAACATTTTATTTATTTTTTTATTTTTATACAAATAAATAGGTTGTAAATAAAATATGACATCAAAAAATAATGATTAAAGAAAAAATATTTATTTTGCATTTACATTCGTCTAGGAATAACTCTTGGTTCATTTCAAGATCTCCTCCAACTACGTGCCTGCAGTTAATGTATTTTGTAACAAAAATATTTTGATTATTTAACTTAGTAAACTTAACATTACATATTATTTTTTAATATGGTTAATTTATAAATGTTTTTTTATTACAAAACAAAAATAGTAATAGATTAGGGATTTAAGTTTTTTTCAGGATTTTTTTATCAAAATTCAAAAATTCTGGAGGCCCATTGCACTAATAGTTAGATCAAACATGTTTCTTGCCAAACTGACCATAACTCAGTTGGTTAGGAATAATGTTCAGATCGTTGTAAATCAAACTCGAAGTCTAAAGGTAATTAGCTTTATTATAAATGAGTGTTGGGCTATCAGTCAGATTTTGTAATTTGGTTTTTTAATAAAAAATTTTTCTTATTATTTTACTTATTTAATATTTATTTCCGACGTTTCGGTTTTTTAAAACCATTATCAGGGAAAAAATTTTAAAACAACTGAATAGAATAAAATTTGTATATAAAAAATATTTTTGACAAATGTTTAAAATAATTACAACGGAGAATATACAATCAGTTTATCTTAAGAATGATTTTTCTAGCAATGCACAGTAAACAACAGAAATATTTTCTATATCTCGCCGCAAATTATATGTGGGTTTAGTCATTATATGTAAGGAATCTAGGGTAAGACGTCGAGACAAGGAAGGTTCAGTATCAATGACTTTCACTGAAGTAAAATCTGGGTAATGATTTACATCCAGAAAGTGTGAGACTAAAGCTGATTGTTTATCCGGATTAATTTGTTTTAGACTATTTTTATGTTGACTTATTCTTTTATGTAATTGATTTTTTGTTTGGCCAATATAGCAGAGTTCACATTTTTGACCATTATTATCAGTTCCAGTGCATGGAATTTCATAGATGCAATTAATAATGTTGTTCGTTTCAATACGATCTTTCAGTTTGGTATATATAGTGTATACAAATTCCTATGATTAGAAGATCGATGATATATATAAATGACCTATCAGTTAAAATTGCTAAGATTATCGAAAGGAAAGTAGACAATTTAAAAATATCCTTTAAACCATTTGCACAAATTCAAACCACTATATATACCAAACTGAAAGATCGTATTGAAACGAACAACATTATTAATTGCATCTATGAAATTCCATGCACTGGAACTGATAATAATGGTCAAAAATGTGAACTCTGCTATATTGGCCAAACAAAAAATCAATTACATAAAAGAATAAGTCAACATAAAAATAGTCTAAAACAAATTAATCCGGATAAACAATCAGCTTTAGTCTCACACTTTCTGGATGTAAATCATTACCCAGATTTTACTTCAGTGAAAGTCATTGATACTGAACCTTCCTTGTCTCGACGTCTTACCCTAGAGTCCTTACATATAATGACTAAACCCACATATAATTTGCGGCGAGATATAGAAAATATTTCTGTTGTTTACTGTGCATTGCTAGAAAAATCATTCTTAAGATAAACTGATTGTATTTTCTCCGTTGTAATTATTTAAAACATTTGTCAAAAATATTTTTTATATAAAAATTTTATTCTATTCAGTTGTTTTAAAATTTTTTCCCTGATGATGGTTTTAAAAAACCGAAACGTCGGAAATAAATATTAAATAAGTAAAATAATAAGAAAAATTTTTTATTAAAAAACCAAATTACAAAATCTGACTGATAGCCCAACACTCATTTATAATAAAGCTAATTAAAAAAAGTCAGCATATATGAAATGGATCTAAAGGTAATATATCAAATATTTACCAGTGCTAGTATATTTTCACAGTATTAAAACAAAAAAATAGTTACCTACAAATTTCTTAATAGAATGTACTATTTAAAAATATATTTTTCTATTTTGTTACCTTATTATGATTTCCATATATAGAGATATTGTTTGTAACTACAAAGTACAAAGGTTAATAAAATAGGATGCATAGGACCATATATACATCAGCTGAACAACCATCAGCTGTATATGCCACTATAACTATTAACTATTTTTAGGATTCTTTTCTCTCTTATTTGAGCGCTTTAATAATAAAATATATATATAGTACATTTGTAGTTCTATTGACATATCAGATCTGCTTTCTCTCAAATTCTAAATAGTTAGGTTGTCTTATACTCGCTTTCAGAGCAGTTGAGATAAGTTATATTATGGGAAGATTATAGGTGCTAAATCTACTTTGTTGGCGGTCCGGATTCCCATCAATAAACTAGATGTATTTTCCAGCCAAATATTAAGATTTGTTAAGGGCTCGGTGAATGGCAAAGGGCGAGCTGAATTAAGTGGATTCCAATTAATTTGTTTGAACTCATAACCTAACCAGCAGATAGTACGACTAAAGTTTTTTAATTTCTTACATTCTTGAATAGCATAACTTACATATTTATTCTTTCTATTAAATTAAATATTAAATAAATATACGAGTATAAGCAATTTGGAAACATTTTATTAAGAAATTCTTAATAAATCCAGTTTTGGGTAATTAAAGAGGAAACAATTTAAATATTTTTTATCATTCTTTTCTGACTAGGAAATAAAATGTAAAGCAGCAATCTGTTGGGAACCAAATAAACCCTTAAAAATTGAAGAAGTAACAGTAGCCCCACCTGATGAAAATCAGGTGCGCATTAAAATGGTTGCAACAGGAATTTGTCACACCGATGCAGTGACATGGCGTGGAGAAGATGCAGACGCAGTTTTTCCAGTTGTTCTTGGTCACGAGGGTTCTGGTATTGTAGAAAGTGTTGGCAAGAATGTTAAACAATTTAAAGCTGGTGATCATGTAATACCAGTATTTGTACCCTACTGTGCTAAATGTAAGTTTTGTCAAAGCAGAAAAACGAACATTTGTGATAAAATACATGATGTACCAGGAGGTATAGCGCCAGGTAAGGGATTATTGCTTAATGGCAAAACACCCTTTTCCTGCAAAGGTAAACCAGTTTATAACTTTATGGGCACTTCGACATTCTCTGAGTATACCGTTACTGATGATATATTCGTTTGTAAAGTAAATTTTTATAAAATTTTTGATTTTTAACGATATACGTACAATATATTAATAGATTAATAAAAAAGCACCCTTGGATAAAGTATGTTTGCTTGGCTGTGGGGTCTCTACAGGTTATGGAGCAGCAATTAACGATGCCAAAGTACACCATTATATATATATATATATATATATCTTTTTTTTTATAATGAAAAATAAATTTTTAAACATTTTCGCTTGTTTATAGGTTAGGCCTGGAAGCACTTGTGCCGTATGGGGACTAGGTGGAGTCGGTTTATCAGTTGTAATGGGTTGCAAAAGAGCAGGTGCATCTATTGTTTGTGGTATAGATATCAATTCTAAAAAATGCAAAATAGGTCAAATTTTTGGAATAACTCATTTTATCAATCCAAATGAAACTGATGAATGTATAAAAGATTATCTTCTAAAATTATCTAACGGTGGTTTTGATTATACTTTCGAAAGTTGTGGTATAACAAAATCTATGGAAGATGCTATGGATGTAACACACCCTGGTTGGGGTATTTGCACAGTAATGGGTGTAGCACCCACAGGTGAAAAAATTTCCACTTCACCCGTTAATTTGATAGCTGGACGCAAATGGATAGGTTCTGCTTATGGTGGATTTAATGTTACTGAAATTCCTGCACTTGTAAATGATTATATGAGTGGTAATATTAAGTTGGATGAATTAATTACTCATACCGTAACTTTAGAAAATGTTAACCAAGCTTTTGAAAATATGTTTGGAGGTAAAGGTCTGCGCACTGTAGTAAAATTCAAAACATAATTTCAAATTTTTCTTTCTGTATATAATAATAGTAAAAATAATATAATTTCGTTTTTATACATGTATTTCATTATATAAAACTATAAAATATGTAAAATAAATAACTTAAGTTCTTTTCTTCGCATGCCGCATACATTATATCGTTTTAAATTGTCTATGACAATTTTAGGTTTCAGTCGTATGTTTATAAAAAAATGAGTACATACAATATTTTGGAAACATATATGAACCTCAATAATATAGTATATTTTATTGAACTATTAATATTTGAATAAACTTTATAAAAGTTTAAAGCGTTTTTACTGTTTTACGTTGTTTCACTTCTTGTTCAACATTTTCCTTACATAATTTGCTAATTTTTTCGTCTTTACAACTCTCAGCTCCACTTATGTCGTCGATTTCAGAGCTTATTGATTTATCATCAAAAAATGCTAACTCATCGTCTTGAAAACTACTTGGTGAGCCAATGGCTTTAGTGGCAGTGCTTTGGATAGTTTTGGTAATTCGCATATATTTTTGTTGCAGTGTACGGAGCCAGGTTGTGTCCGACCAATGATACCAGCTCAGTAGAAAAACAATTAGTATAAAGAAAAGATTTGTGCTAATCGCTAACGAAAAATAGTTAGTTGATATACATAATTATTTTAAATTGTGACAATAACTTACCTACAGTAGCCGACAAAACCGGCCAATTATACATTATATACCGCAACCCAGTGAAGTCAGCAACAATATGTAAGCTAACAGTATAATATTGTATTTTCTGCGACTGGATTTCAACATACACGTCAGTTATTGGGTGCATTCGTTCTTCCAAATACCGCGAAAAAATTTCAACTGGTACACGCTGAAACTCCTCCTTTAAACCTAACACAAAAAGTGGACTAAGTGTCCATGTTGAAATTGTACGTATTAACGGTGACCGATAGCGCATCATAGCAGAGCGACACGAATGACCTCGTAGCATTGACGAACTATCTCGCATTTCTGCGCACACCATAAACATGCCTAAATCTAAATTTTGTGGTGATTCGGGCATTTCAATATTTACAATTACTTTATATGCTTGGCCAACCATCAACAGTTGCTGTTTTTTAGTTAGAGACACATGTGCATGTGGAAATGTGCATGGAGAGTTAGTATCTAGACAAGTTCTAAAAATCATAAAATTGAAATATTAAATGTTAAATTAAATGATTTTATTTCATTTATATATAAGTCAAAATTACTTAAACTGCATATGAACAGGACGAGTGTGAGATATGGCAGGCATATACGTGTAGTAAAAGGCAGCATACATAAAAACTGCCGCCCATATAATTAAAATGACAGCAAACGCAATTAAACCCAAACGCAATACAAGCTCCTTTAATGATCCAACTTTTTCATCTGCCCTTGATTTTAATTGATCATAAACATTTAAACCAATATTTAATACCGGACGAAAAAATAATCGACGTCCAATGCCAAGGGGATCGAAGCAAAATATCACCAACCGTAGTAAAAAATTCATTTTTAAAAATAATCGTTTGTTCGTTCTCTAAAAAAATTGCTACATGCCGCGTTTCTTTTATATAAATGTGTCACTGAATTTTAATATTTTATTTTAGTTAAAAATTTTGTCTACAAGTGTATATCAAAGTTCATACCGATTATAATAATAAAAATTTTACTGATATTTTTGTATCACTGATAAAATGCGGTGCATTTCCAAACATTAAAAAAAGCAACAACTAAACATTGGTGAAAACTGATAAGATCTTTTTGAAACATAGTTGGCAACACTTTAAATAAAGTATATCAAATGATATACAAAAAAAAAAAATTTATATAAAAATTTTTATAATTAAAAAAAGTTAAATTCAGATTATTCGATATAAATAAAATTAGCAACACTATTGTAGAACTATTAACTAGTTAGAAATTGTTATATATTTTATGATTATGAAACACGTCTAACCAAAAAAACTCACCACACCTGTCTTCAACTTTAATTCGCATTGTCAACAGATTTCATATCATTAATGTGTCATTATCGTAAGGAAACATAATATAGTTGGTGCCAGCAAAAATAATATTGAAACGAAAATACTGCAAGGAAATATGTAAATTGAATTTATAAGTTAATTTTTTTAATAAGAAATATGTATTCATTGTTGGAAAAACATTAAAATAAAGAAAGAACAATGGTAAATAATTAACAGCACAAAGAAGAAAACTAGAAAAACGTTAAATTTGCCTACCTTAATGTTAAACAATAAACTAAGGTTTTTTTTGGAATTGTAAAAGCCACTGATTAATTGAGCAATATAATTTACTTGCTGAAATATAACAGCGTTCATCAACTTATATCTGAACACACCCCCTAATAAACTGATTGGACAATTTGAGTGCAAATTATTCACACAAGTACAAAGTAATCAATGAGTAACTATCGCCATCACAGCGGGTATTGTGGTATAGAAGTAAGAGATATGCATCCAAGAATTCATAATTTTACGTACGTTAGCTCTTGCGTAAAGTATATGATATTTATGTTAAACTTCATATTCTGGCTTTTTGGTGGACTCCTGCTTGGCATTGGTATGTACGCATTCATGGACAAATGGCATTCAACAGGCTGGGTACGTTTAGAAACTTTCTATGATGTTATATTAAATATATCGCTTGTAATGGTTATTGCTGGAGTAGTTGTTTTTGTTGTGAGCTTCGCTGGCTGTTTGGGTGCTCTACGTGAAAATACTTGTCTACTGAAATTTTATTCTATGTGTCTTTTATTGTTTTTCCTACTTGAAATGGCAATTGCAATTATGGGTTTTGTATTTCCTCAAAATATGAATTCATTCTTGGAAGACAAATTTACTGATAAAATAATACATTCCTACCGTGATGATCCAGATTTACAAAATCTAATCGATTTTGCACAGCAAGAGTTTAAATGTTGTGGTCTTAGCAATGCTGGCTATCAAGATTGGAGTAAGAAAAATAATTATTTCAAAGTTATAATTTTTTAATGCTGACTTATTTTCAGGTAAAAATGAGTATTTTAACTGCTCCTCACCTTCCGTTGAAAAATGTGGCGTGCCATATAGTTGTTGTATTAATGCTACCGATATAAGCTCAGGATTGGTCAACATAATGTGCGGTTATGGAGTACAAGAGCATTCAGTTGCAGCTGCAGGTAAACGCATTTGGACAAACGGATGTATTGAAACTGTACGTTTATGGGCTGAGCGTCATCTTTATACAATCGCTGGTGTTGCGTTAAGTATCGCTCTGATACAACTTTTTGTTATATACTTAGCCAAAACATTAGAAGGACAAATTGAACTACAAAAATCACGTTGGGCTGCGTGAGTTAACTAATTATCGTTTAGCACAAACGACATGAACTAGAAAAAAGTTGTGCAAATCAATTTTTTAAGTTTTTAAGTTTTTTTGAAAGGCAATTTATATGTAGTGCTAAACTGTCTGTACTGGTAACGTTTTAGTTAATAAGTTTAAATTTATTTAAAAATGCATTATTATCTCGACAGAAATATATGCATTTATTACAATATAAGACTTCCATTAAACTACATTTAGAATTTCAGGCTCAAATAACACTAAGTTAAATCCTTTCATTCGTTTTTATTAAATAATTATATACCAATGTCAATTGTTTTGTGGATTGCATTTTTGTACAAATTTTAATACTACTGAACATTATTTTTTTTTGTTTAATGTTTCCCCGTATTATTTTTATGTGTTCGTCTTTTTGTTACTAAATACTCGATTTATTAATTTTATTTGGTGCTTTGAATGTTAATATGAATGTTTAATATGGTTCTATTAATCATTTTTAATATATATATAGACTTTTACATTATTTTATGCATGCCATTCATTAACAATTTTTAGAAAATACGTATGCCTGCCAAATTATTTTATTTCAATTTTAATTAAAAAAATAATTAAAACAAAAATATTTAGTATTAAATTTTATATATATATATATATATATATATATATATATATATATATATAAATTTTTTATTTTAACAAACAAAAAGCAAATATATGCCGACTATTTTGCCGTAAAAATAAAACGGCAAGCATTTATATATATTAAACTATATGTGTACTCCAAAGTAAATAAATAAATGTAGTAATTTAAGTTCTCTTTTACATATTGATCAAAAATTAAAAAATCAGAAGAATCTTTAACAAAATTTCGAAAATTATGCACAAAAGTCTAATAATAATTAAAATTTTATATTTCGAAAAAAAACTTTATATTAAAGACGTAATTCAAGTCTACTGTGCATAAAATATAATATCAGACTGTTTAAAACTCAAATCGAATAATTCTTGTAAAAATCAATCCTGAATCTTAAATAAAATTAGATATAATTATACTAACTCAAATTATATACATGTTGGTATGCTAAATTGTTATAATGACAAGCATTGAAAATATGTACATGTTTTAAATTTCTACACAACTTGCAAAACAGTTCATAAACCTATTATTATTACTATTACTATAATAAATAAACAATGTAATTAGTTATAAACTATATAAGTATTATTTAATATAATCAATAAAAAAGACAGTATATAAATCTAATTATATGGGTTTCATTTTCTAATTCTGGATTTTAAATATAAACTTAACATTCTGAATTGAAAATAATTTTTATATTATAATAATTGAAAAATATATTAACCGTATCATATTTTTGTAATATATTTAGAACATTTTTGTACAAAGAATTTAGTCTTTATTAATTGAAAAAGTGTTTAAAGAAATATAAATATTAATTTTAATTAGAAAATTTTATTAATATAAATGGAAAAAAAACTATTGCAACAATTTAACGTATTCTAGTAGATTTCTTTCGTCAAAAATTTTTACATTTAATTTTTTAAATGTTTGCAATATATTCTTCCGTTTAGCATTTAACAATACAGCTTCTTTTTGTTTTTCATCAGGAATTAATTTTTGTTGAAGTAATTCCTTTATATGGCGACGCAAAATTAAATCTAATTGATGGATAGTATTTGGTACTAATAACTGATTTGATGTGTCTTGAATTATTAAAGGAGAAGTTTTCTTATCAAATGATTTCAAAAGAAATTCAATTACATCATTTTTTTTTAATTGTACATCAAATACTTTTATATGCAAAGTATTTTCCTCCCAATGAAATTGTTTTTCTCCAGGTATTTCAAACCGTTTGGCCATGTTTTCAACAATTTTATTTGGTACTTGCTCGCTTCTTATACGTTGCTGATTTCTAATCAAGGACTCCTTCAAGGTACATATTAAATGGATTTGTGCAAATGATAAGCTATTGTCCTTACAAAACTGATATAATTTGTACCTCATACTGCTGTAGAAATTATTATCATCACAAATTATTACGTACTTTTTTGTTTCAAATGACATGGAGCATTTAATTTTATTTTTCAATTCCACTGGCACTGTATTGTGTAATTTTAGCGAGTTTGTTATTATAGCCAAAACATCAAATATTTTATTTCGTTCCGTTTTATAATCTATTATTGAAGTTTCACTTTCAGTATCATTAATTTTAAAAAAATCGTCAAAACAAACATGTATAACATTAAAATAATTTTGTTCAAGATAGAGCAACCAGTTACTGATTGTTGTTTTTCCAGCAGCTGGAAGGCCTATTAAGGCCACTAAACATATACATAACATTGTAGAATCTTGAGGTTGAGTTTGGACAGTACGATCTAATTACAACCAAGCACTACCAGCTGGCTTTTTGTCATCTAAACCTGGTATTACTTTAGGTTTCTTTTTTGGAACTGGTTCTGCTGTACCTTGTGGTTCTTGTGATCCTACTTCGCGTTGTAAACCGTTTTGACTTTCTTCAAGCTCACGAATTCGTCTTTGATTGATTTCAGTCTGCACCTCTATATATACATTCATCATTTTTTGATTAAAGCGCGCAAATTTAGTCACGCAGCTATCAACGCAGGTATGCTGCAAATGATTTTTATTAATAACTACGAAATTAACTATTATATATATATATATATAAGGTACCTCATTAGTGCTCAAATTTCTATCGCTTAAATTATCAACGCAACGTGTAAAACACAGTTCTGTTACTTTATTGTATAAGCCGAGAAAATCTTTAAGCTAAATTTATAATAAATAAATATATTTGGAAAGTTAAATTAATTTTTCATTAAAATTTGAAAAATTTGTTGTAATAATATTTTTTAAATGTTACGCAAACACTTTGGTTCTATTACAAAAAATTAAAACGGATCTAATATTATAAAATACAAATTTTAAATAAAATCAATACTAACATTTCTTAAATTGGGATCCATTTATTTTAAATTCTAAATTCTAACTACTATAATTTTCAGTTTTTGACTAAAATCATATGTCTCATTACATGCTGTTGTTATTCGGTATTTCCGATAGGGCTACCAACACCTTTGAGAAATGTAAAAATCAATGGACTAACTATGATAACATTATCATTAATTAGTTTGTCAAGATATTAAATTTTATGAAAAATATACCCTTGCATATGTCAAGTTAATTGTCACAAATAATCAAAGAAGAAGAATCTTCTTTGCAAATAATTATCATTAATATAGTCCAATCTCGATAATCCGTACAGTTACTGCCAAGGCCAAATAATTTCGTTGAAATTAAGGGAAATTTTAAATACAACTATGCAAGACATAAATATTGAATATAAAATAAGTTGAGATAACGAAAAGGTGATATTAATTTTTAAAAATATTTGATATTAATAAAACCGACAATATATTGTAGAAGTAATGCAAACATTTTTAAATTTTACATGAAGAAAAAAAATTATAAAAAAAGATATAGTCGGTGCCAAGCGGCAAGAAATGAGCTTTTAGAACTATTGGAACTATTAGAACTGTGGGAATGTTATATACAGGGCTTCCGTGGTGTGCGCAAAACCGGTTAAGTACATAAAGAAATAACTAAGGAATTAAATAAACTCGGATTTATGTAAAATACCCGAAAAGTTCAAATGAAAATAAACATGACGTGTAGCTAATATATCTTTACCAAGTGTAGTTTTATAGTAATCCTCCATTAGTTGGTTTAAAGTTTTGTTTTATCAACTATATTTCATTGCCTAAAACACTACTCATATTTTTTGCCATATCTTGACGATGGCCAATGTTTGTAAATAGTAACAAATGTAAATACTTATATCATTTGTTACTATTTTATGTAAATATATAATTATATTACAATCTAAATAGTCGCGCTTTCTCAAACTGTTTGCGATAGATTTGTAGAACTTTTCTTCAAGTCTGGGGCACGATCGGTGTCTTATACGTCATATCCTTATGGGACATTATTTATGCTGAGTTTAAGGCTGCCACTTTAAGCGAAGCTAAACTAAATTTTAACTGTATTTATAATTAAATTTTATATTAGTTGATGTTATGTAATAGTATAATTACTTGAATCTATATTACATTGTTATAATTGTTTTATATAAACAAATTTGTAATAAGAAAGTATTTAAAAAAAATTTTCTTTTAAACACTAGTTTCCCAATATTAAATTAATTTTTAAATTCTTGGCAATTTTTTCATAGTTAAATCTTCCAAAAAATTTTTGTATGATAAGAGAAAAAAAATAAAAAGTTTTAATGACATTTTGGCATATGTGGAGTGAATGAATGAAATTGAGTGAATTTCAAACATATGTAGAAAAAAGTTTGTGTTTTAAATACATGTTAATACAAATACTCGTGAGTGTGTGTTGAATGATAATAATAGATTCTCATTAGAGTTTGATTTGTAATTTTGCTGTCAAAAATTTTCCTTTTGCATTGAAAGCAACATCAATCGACAGCTAAAATTACAATCAAAACTCTCGTGTGAAACTAGTATAAAGGCCATGTGCGAGTTCGTGTAAATTGAGTCAAAGTAAATTGAATTTTCTTAGGAATTGTTTGACCTGCTCTTATGTAAATATTTATTGCAGTTGTTTATTAGTTTTTAGTTAAAAGTTTTCAAATTTATTTATTTATTTATTAAACATTTTATAAAATTTTCACAATAGTAACACCTAATTTACCTAATTTTTATCTAATTTACCCTTCACGAAATTCTGATAAATGCAAACATTCGCTGCCATACCAACATAATTTACTATTTCCTTCAATTAACCACCAATATACTCGAAATCGCACACAGGCAAAGTTGCTAGGAGCTGTGTAATTACACAATAAAAATTGAGCCAACAAGTGTCAAATCATTCTTTATTTCATATATAATTTTGATTTCTTATTGCTTCTAACTTTTCTATCTTGACATTTACATTTAGTTTTATTGTCTCGTTTGTTGTGAGAAGTTGTTGTTTAATATATTTGTGAATGATTTTGTTGCAAAGAGGCCAAAGAATTTATAGTATAGTTTTGCCTTTAATTGGTAAAAATACAGGTGGAGTGCAAAAATACTTTCAAAAATAGAATAACATTGAGCATACAAATCAGAACAGTGGGACGGTCTGTATATTTATAATTTTATTATTATTAGTATTTATATACTATTAAAATGCATGCATTTTGAAGAAAATGTGAATGAAATATTAACATAATTTTTGAAAAGAATTTTTAAAGGGAAGGAAAATTAAATGAAAACAAAAAACACCACTTTCTGTTGACGTATCAACGCATACTTTTATACCAGAAATCAGCGCAGTGGCAATCATTTGCACCGACATTTTTCTTCATTTGATTAAATAACAGTACTTGTGTGGGTGCATTAATAAAGATGTTTGCTATTAATCGTGTTGCACAACTGCAACGCATTCAATGCATATATTTTAGTAAAAATTTCAATTCATCGAAATATAAAACAAATTTTATTGCTTTCAAAAATTTGAAAAAATTTATTACGCCAAGTTGCTTCGCAGTTGCATACATAAATAGTAATAGAAATTTCGCAGCGGGTAAGCTAAGTGCATCACTAAAATAATAAAACTTTAGAAAAGTATTTGGGTTTTTCATTTTTTTTTGTGTTTAAATTATACAGTGAAAGTTTTTAACTTATATTTTGCTATTTTGATAAAAAAAAAAATTTACAATTTAGTAATAAATAATTTGTGTAACACTTAAAGTGAGTGTTGAGTGGCATAGAATTTAAACAAATTCAATTTTAACATTCGTGAATGCATCCACAAATTTGGAATTTGATATAGCGCACCGTATAGTGAATTGATATACATATTTAGGAATAATGATGATGTAATTTGCGCTTCTATTCAGCACAAAATATTCAGCTTGTATATTCCAAGCCTTTGTGATCCGATCAACAACGTTAAATATTATTTTAGGTTGGTCGTGTTCTGTGCACTAATTTATCATTCATTACTCATGTATGTTACGAGACAAGTTTTCGTCCGCTTTATAGCCTATTATCCGCTCTAACAAGGCCGGCATATATTTTTTTTGTGATTATGTAGTTATCGCCAAAATTTTAGCGAAGCATCTTTCACTCAAGTTATAACGCTTAATTTATTTCTATTACTGAAAGTCAGATATCGCTTAATTTTGGAATCTGACTAATAGCTGTGTCTTAAATTTGAGTCCATTCTATGCATGTGTTTATTTTTGGATTTTCTAATACTTCAACTCTGCAACTTGTGCGGTCGTATTCAGGTACTTAATGGTCTTAATCTTCATAAGGCACTCGTTTTATCAGACCTGTGATATATAATAAACAATAGAAAGCATATAATATATAATAACAATAGATATAATAACAATATTAGTTGTATTCGTCAGTTTTTAAGTGTAGCAAAAAACAGCAAGTAACTCGCTTAAAGTTTCTAAAATGTACGCAAGACAACATCACTACGTTCTCTATCCAAGCGCCAGTTGTGAAATGGCCAAACATTTAAGCGACTGCAGAAAAAAATGTTACCAAACTAATAGTGATCTATTGTAAACCTTTATTGGAAATTTTACCGAATATTTAACGAATATCTGTCAAAATTTGTTAACAAAAATTCAAACAAAATTAGTGTTTAAGAAATTTGAAATTTGTGAAAATGAAATATTTTAAAAATATGCTAAATTGTGGACTATAAATATTTCAAAAATATACACATAATTATATACAAAAATTTATAAGAGCACATGAAGTAGTATTGAAAAGTATGATTGAAAAGTTGCTAACAAGTTAATCCTTATAAAGGCATAAATATTCTAACATTGCTCTTAATTCATTATTCATTTTAATTTTCAATTTTATATTAATTATTTATTTCTTCTCAAAATGCTGTTTGCTTGTATTAAATGTAATGCCTTGTTTTCACTATGTCATTTTAAATGTCAATTATAATTGACTGGTGTGTCAAATGCGTTTTCATTACATGACAAGAATGCGAATATGACATCATATGACTACCCGTTTTCATTATACTGACAACATTTGACATTGAAAATGACATAGTGAAAACGAGGCATAAGTTCTGCTCTTTGCGAAAACAAAACATTTGACAGATTGCTTGTTAAGCGCCCGTGTTAAATGCTAACAAATGCACCTATTATAATGGCGTTTTCGATTAGTAAATCTGAATTCAATCTAGATTTACTCTCGGTCTGTCAATTTTTGTTGTCCAATCGAACACTTTAAGGATAATCTAACATTTATGTAGTATGTTTACTAAGCCATTTATATTTTTTAAAAATTCATATATCGAATCAGAGCACACTTTATCTGTTAAATCATATAACATAAAACTGCTCTTAATTTTAGCGTAATTCTGCTACTCAAACAAAATATCTAGAGTGTTATAAATTATTCTCGAGTTTTATACATTTTATCCCAGATTTACCAATTGAAATTAAAATCGTACTAAAAGTGGGTTAAAACAGCATCTCAACTAAAAAATTTGCCTCAGATTTACCAATCGAAAACGCCATTAGTTTTTATTTCATTTTGTACAAATAATTATTTTGTAGATGGAATTAATCAAGACTTTAGCGTTTCTTTTTGTCTTTTTCATCACGGCATAATAATCTTACGACAATGAAACAGTTGTATTATATAAAATAAAAATTAATTTATATATTTTTGATTTAGAGATATTCGCATGAAAAATTATTACATATGTTTAAAATAATGAGACGATTATCGTTTAATGTCGAACCATAAAATTTGTGTAAAAAATAAATGTATAAGTATGTTTTTATTTAATAATATGTAATAATATTTGTTACCCTTAATCTTTCATATAAAAAGTATATAAAAAATTATTATTTCACATTTTTAAGCCAATATATATATAAAATATTATAATAATTTATTATTATTAATGCAGCAACAGTAGCAGGTAGTTATGTTAAAGATATTTACTATCCTTGTATGCCTGTAGCAAATTCATCTATTATTCCTCGTGAAGTATTTGAAAAGAAAAAGTATGTGTAGTAATCACAAAAATTATG